AGAGAGAGAATCTCAAGCATACTCAATGCTGAGCATGATGCCTGACACGGGGCTTGATTTTAAGACCCTGAGATTATGACCTGAGGCTCATCATGAGAGGAGTGGAGGAAAAAGTCAGAAGGCACACAGACAGAATGTCCTGAATCTGAGCATCCCCAGGAAGGGCTTGGGATTTTCTGGCTTCATCCTAAGGGGCGTGCTTTCTTTGTCCACAAGTTTCAGTGTCTGATGACCGAAAGGAAACAGAGATTCTGAGCTGCTGAGAGCCTCAGTTTCCTGAAAACTACCACAGAGCAGCAGCTACTGGTCGGCTAGGTTGCTGACCCTTGACAAACCCCAGCACCCAAAAGGTATTCCCAAGTACACATATTCATTCACAGAAAACAAAAATGATTCATAAGGCCAAGTAACCAAGACTTTAAAGTTGAAGTGGTTTTTCCACCCTTGTCCCCATCTGATAAATTCCTAGTCATCCTTCCAATATGCCTTCTCTGTAGAGCGATGCTCTCTTTAGAGTTCTTCCCACCATAATTAGAAACAAGAATGATAACAATAATATATAATTAACAACAGAAACTAACTTTTGTTGGTCACTGGGGGCCAAAGCAATGCCAAAACACTCTCCATGCCTTATCTCATTTAATTCTTACAATAACCCTTGGAGGAAGGTGCTGTCTTCATTTGATGGATTGGATGGTTGTAGGTTGGGGGAGAAAAAGGCCTGTGGCCTCCATCTCGGTGCCTTGGACACCTACTCTGTACTAGCCCTTACTGCACCCAACTGGTCACCATCCATGTGCTCTGTCCCACACAAGATTTTACGCACTGGCAAACTGAGAAGTTATCTTCTGGAACACAGTGCAGATTATATGAATGCTTATAGCCACATTGTGCCTGAATGTGGATCAGATAGACCAGGGACGCTCAGACATTGGTGAGGATCTGCTCAGAAGCCATTAGGCAACTAAGAACACCAGCCCACAGAGATACATTTCCAGCAAGAACAGGAGTGCTGTTTCAGATTTCACAGCATGTTACTTTAAAACAGTATGCAAACTTCACTCAGGACAAAGAACCACCGGAGTTAAGCAAGTGGTGATGAGAAAAGATTATCTAAGTTGGAACCAGAACCAAATACAAAGACAAGAGAATCCATGTCTTCTGAGAAAATTCACAGAAACCTTCAAAAGTCTCTGAAGAAAAACCTTTCACTGAGGAATATCCAAACAAGACTCTGAGCAAAGCACAACCTGAATCGGGCACCCGGGGAGACAGCAAAGGGAAAATGAATTATCCCTGCAAGAAACACAAATGTTTGGACAAGAAAATCAGTGCCTAATTGGTGAAGTGAACAGCCTATTGGATGAAGCAGGGCAAATCAAAGGAAAAGTGGTTGAAATTTCCAGACTCTAACAGAGAAGGTTTTACAACAAGAAGCTGAGATGGATGGCATTCACCAATTAGTCGTAGAAGTCCCTGAGGATTTCAAGGAGGGCGATGAAGAGCGGCTTCTGAGTGTGGGCGCTCTTCTTCCTGGCGATGTGCTCCTTCTCCTTGCTCTTCCTCGATCGCTAGCACAGCTTGTCTAGGCAACGTCTGCGGCCGGCGCTGCCCGGTTACTCCTGGCAGACGGTGAGCTGTCCGGGGTCTCCAGCATCAGAGTGCTTTGTGACCAGATGTTCCCCCAGGGCTGAGACAAACCCATGTACGCTCACAGAGGGTACACTCAAACCTGTGGTTTTAAGCTTATTTTGTAGCTGAAAAACAATGAAGTTGAAAAGAAAGGAGAAAACTAAACTCAAATGATTGTGCAAAAAAAAAAAAAGTAACTGAAGTCTGAAATTGACATATGTAACCACCATTTTCCTGAGGGCTTAGATACTATATAGAAATAGAAATAGAAATGTGTGTATATGTATATATACAGAATATATATAACTCTTCTCTAAACTAGGTTCTATTCTTTAAGCAAACTCAGCTGTCCGAAACTCCAGTGTCCCTGTACTTGCGATACATTTAATATGCAGGAAAAATATTAACACAGCAGGGAAAAGTCCAAGTTAACAAATGGTGTCGCTATTATTTGTAGTACAATAGCCAGAAGTAAGCAAAGTATCAAGGATATTAAATTAATTTTCTTGGTCCCATCCATTGTAAAATGGCTTTTGCAACATCTTAATTTAGTAAGAATAAAAGAAATTTGGAGACCTGGGGCATTAGGCTACATTTCCTCTTTAGCCTCCTTGAGGCTCATGAATCCCTTTCGTACCACCTGTCCGCACCCAGCTTCCTCAACTAATCTTAATTCGAAAACCAGATTGGAGCTCCCACCACCGCCACAGCGCGGGAAACTGGGTCTTTAGGGATCGTCTAGAAACTGCAAATGCTTCCGGGCTGCTCTTTGCGCGCCCTCTGCTGGCCACACATGGAAGCAGGAGAAGTCGCCACAGAAAGGTAAAAAGACAGGGTCATGTAAGGAAGTACTCAGGGTGATTGTAGAAGAAAAAAAATTAAATAGGAACCCCCCAATGACGCAACAACAAAACACACAACCCAATTCAAAAATGGGCAAAGGATTTAGAAAGCCACGTCTCCAAAGACATATAAATGGCCAACAAGCACATAAAAAATGTCCAACATCACTAAAAACTAGGGAAATACAATCAAAACTCCAATGAGATAATAACCTCACACTCATCAGAATGGCTACTACAAAAGCAAAGCAAAACAAAACAAAACAAAACAAAAAACCACTCAGAAAAATAACAAGTCAGACAAGATGTGGAGAAACTGGAACCCTTGCACAAATGTAAAATGGTGCGGCTGCTATAGGAAAGAGTAAGGGTGCCCGGACCATGGGGCTTGGAGAGCTCCAGGCTGGCGAATACATCAATGATGTGCCAGAGGGTGGTGCACCCAGAGAGGGCATGGAAGCTCCAAGCTCCTTCCCACACACTGCTTCCTATGCATCTCTTCTTCCTGGCTGTTCCAGAGCTGTATTCTTTATAAGAAACCAGTAATAGAGAGTCAAGCACTTTCCCGGAGTTCTGTGAGCCATTCCCGCAAATTATCCAACCTGAGGGAGGGGGGTGTACAAACCCCTGATCTCATGGCCAGTTGGTCAGAAGCACAGGATGTGGGATTGGCATCTAAAGTGGGGGAAGTCTTAGGGGACTGAGTCCCTCACCTGCGGGGTCTGCACTATAGCTCCAGGCAGTTAGAATTGAATTGTAGGACACCTGGTTGGTGTCCAGAGAGAATTCCTTGATATGAGATTAAAAACAAAACAAAACAAAAAAACACACATTTGATGTCAGAAGTGTTCTGTATATAGAGGAAATAAATTTTAATATCCAAAAGAATTAAAAACAGGGTCTGTACACACATCTGTACACCATGCTTATAGCAGAATTATTCATAAATAGCCAACTGTCCATTGACAGATGAATGGATAAGCCGAATGTGGTATATCCATCCATATGATGAAATATTATTCAGCCTTCAAAAGGAAGAAAATTCTAACATCTGCTACAAGGATGAACCTTGAGGACATTACCCTAAGGCAGGCAGGCACAGAAGGACAAACGCTGTACAATCGCACTTAGATATCTAGAGTAGTCATATGCATAGAGACAGACACTAAAACGATGGCTGCCAGGGGCTGTTTCATGGGTGCAGAGTTTCTTTTGCAAAATGAAAATGTTCTAGAGATTGCTTGCACCACAATCTGAATATACTCAACACTATGGAACTATATACTTAGAAATGGTTAAGATAGTAAATTTTATGTTCTGTGTGTTTTACAATTAAAACTAAATTTTTTAAAAAAAGATTTTATTTACTTATTTGACAGAGAGATATAGAGCACAAGTAGGCAGAGTGGCAGGCAGAGGGAGAGGGAGAAGCAGGCTCTCTGCTGAGCACGGAGCCAGACATGGAGCTGGATCCCAGGACCCCGGGATCATGACCTGAGCCGAAGGCAGCCGCTTAACCGACTGAGCCACCCAGGTGCCCCAAAACTAAATTTTTTTAAAAGGTAATTTGAAACAATGCATCAATATAATCATTCCTTCATTTGCTGCTCTGTCCCACATCTGGCTCAGCTTCTAGAAACTTAGAAAGTGAGACCTAGCAAGGATTTGGAGATCCAGTTCAACTTTAAGATTAAAACAATGGAGGCCACAATGGCAAGGTAACCTGTGAATGTGTCAGGTGGTTAGAGGTGGAGGTGGGATTAGAAGGGCTCCTGTCTCCCAGACTGGGGCCTCACCCTGCACCACAGCCCCAACAGGGATGGCCCACTGCTTTACTTTAAGTAGGCTCCACACCCAACGTGGGGCTTGAACTCAGGAGTTCAAGAGTTGCGTGCTCTTCCAACTGAGCCAGCCAGGTACACCAGCCCATTTCTTGATGGAAATGAAAATAATAATGTTCATCCATTCAGGGCTCATTCCCACACAGGGAATGAGTTCTGGGAGGTCAGATGAGCCTATGAAAAAATGTACCTTTGGTTAAAATCCAAGTGATCTGAATTTCAAAAACCCCCTGAACAAACCTGGGGATATGGGGAGAAAAATATGAGCTACTTAAATGTGAATAGGGCACATTGAGGTTTTTTCCCAATTGAGTTATTTTGTAATATTTTCCAGCATGAGCCTTAAAAGGAATATCACCCTTCAGACAGAGTCTTTCTGCCTATCTACAATAATGTCACAGTATGAGACCTGCATATAAATTATTTTTTATTTTACTTTGATGACTGGGAAAAGATACCAACATATATGATCAAATCAGAGCTAACAAATAACTTGCAGTTAATTGGCTAATTTTATTTTAAAGATTTTATTTATTTATTTGAGAGAGAGAGAGAGAGCACAGAAGGGGAGTGAGAGGGAGAAGTGGACTCCCGCTGAGCAGGGAGCCCGATGCGGGACTCGATCCCAGGACTCCGGGATCATGACCGGAGCCGAAGGCAGTGGCTCAACCAACTGCACCACCCAGGCACCCAAATTGGCTAATTTTATTAAAATAAAGACATGTTTGTTTAAATTGGAAAAGAAAATTGTTCTCACTGGCACTTCGCTTTGGCTGGGATCCTTGAAGGCCAAGGTGCTGATGATAATCACTCTCACACCATCAGCCGTTTCCGTTCTCTTAAACGCACCTGGTACTGGCGAACAAAGCTCAGAGATGTGGCTGGGTGACCAAACGGTCAGTGCTCTGCCCGCACTCGGTTACGATCCCTTTAATCAATGGTCTCCTCTGAAAGATTCACTTTCAGATGGTAAGGCTTTGCCCAAATACGCTTCTCGGGGCTGAGGATGGCTCACTGTGCAGTAACGTGTGAGGTAGGTTCTCTTCGCAGTTGGCAGACATTCCTGTTGTGCTTTAACCAGGGGGCTGAGCGTTGTCGGTGACCAGAACGTCTGGCTTCACATTCCTACAGCGGGGAGTGCCCCCCACCCCCATGTTCCCAGTCTGCAATCCTGCCTCAGATTCTAACTCTTCAAATCCAGAGGAATGTTTTCTTCATCCACAGGTTGTTTAGGGTTTAATTGGCCACTCAGAGTTAAAAAGGAGTATCTCAAGCCCCCTGCCATGCTGAAAGGAGGAAAAAAAAGTGAAAATAAATAAACTCATAGGTAGTACCACCAAGGTCTGTATAAAATATATATCTTTAAAGATCTAGCCAGCTTAATTTGAAGGGAGTGATTGAGACCCCTGTTTTTCTCCTAGCTTTTGGATTACTTGATGAGAATTACCCCCTTATTTAGAAATCTTTTGGGGCAGAAAAAGAATAGATCAAATTCAATACAAAACTTTGGAGAGAAAATAAATATTTGTTTATTATTGAATAAACTATACTATTATCCTAAGACAGTGTCCCGTGTCTAGGACCCCAAAATGCCTTTCAAAAGTATCTCAGCCCCTCCTCCCAATATCCTGAATGTATGGTGCTTTGACGGAGCAGGACGTCAGTAAGGCCCACTTTGCAAAATGAAGGCAAACAACTTAGGAACCTTTTTTTTTTTTTTTTGGTGAGAAAGACACACGAAATAAACTCAGATCTCAGCCCCTTGAATTTTCATCATACACATCCCCATGATCCACGGAGCATGTCATAAAAACAGATGAACTGAGTGATTTAAGTAAAATTATCTTAGAAACTAAAATGTCAAAACACCTCCCGTTCTTTCACTTGTAACAGATTAATCACACTTTTTAAAATTCATATTTTACTAAAATCAGTTCATTTAGAAATCCCACTTACCAAATATTTAACCCTACAAAGTTTAACACAGAGAAAATGTAGTCTCCACCAACTAACATTCCAATGTAGGCAATGGAAACATTCTGCAGAAAAAGAAAGAGGATTAGTCTTTTTAAAAGGGAAGGATTTAGAGGGAAAATATATATATGGTAAAATCTGAAACTAAATATTTTAGTTTAGTTACTTTGCCCAAAGACTTGTACACAGTAGCTGTTCACAGAATGTTGAATGAATGAATAAAAAACCGTTACATGTGGCTTTATATGGCATGGTAATTACAGAACACTACATCATTCATGCCCCTTACAGCTAACACACAGGAAAAAAGTTGTAAGAGTTGAGTTGTAATCAGCTTTCCAGATCCCAGCTCTCTACCACCACTGGGTAGTGAATTTTAATCATACTGACCCTAAATTTACATGGATTAGACATCCAGCAAATTCCAAGCAGTGCCCTGCCCTGTGTATTCTAGGAGGGTCTGCGTAGCCAACAGACAAGTCTCCTGTTAGAGCAGGCAGTCTTCCTCACTCACTCTATTTGTGTGATTGGAAAAACAACGCAAGGGACAGAGCACGGAACACCCCAGACTCCTCTCCATTGTTGTGTGTGTTCAAACGCACAGACACAAAACATACCTACACACAATCCATGAGTTTAGTACCTTATAACTGAGCATATATCTAAATTAAAAACAGTTCTTCACAAGGATTCCCTTTCTTAGTCAACGGGTTCTCCCAGAAAACCAAGGTGTACAAACAAGGTACTGAACAAGGTATCTTGTGAGTGCAAAATTTGGAATATTTTTCTGCTTTTTTTACTTCATTTTCCCAGACCATCCCCTCCTACTGCCCCCAAATTAAAGGTCATAATTTGTCTCTCCTTGTTTAAATTAGCAAGCCCTCCCTCGGTTTCATGGATTGGGGTTGAGAAGATCTAAGAAGAGATCACTCAGGTACAGCTGAAAAGGTCACAAGCCTCCACGCTTCCTATACCACCCATTACAACAATAAAATCGAACTCTGCTTCTCCCGTGAAGACTGGATTCACTGCCAATTCCCCATTTCCCAAGGCTTCACCCACTTACCTTGATGGCTCCAACCACTGCTGTTGTGAGGGCTGAATTGTAATAGCTGCACAAAACTGTGGAGTACATCAACAGAAACCTGGGGCAAAGGAAGGAAACACTTGGATGTGTGCCTGACTGTGCCAGGTATAACAGATTAAGAAGGGTCTGTGCATCCCAATGTTTATAGCAGCAATGTCCACAATAGCCAAACTGTGGAAAGAGCCAAGATGTCCATCAACAGATGAATGGATAAAGAAGATGTGGTATATATACACAATGGAATATTATGCAGCCATCAAAAGGAATGAGATCTTGCCATTTGCAACAACGTGGATGGAACTGGAGGGTGTTATGCTGAGTGAAATAAGTCAATCAGAGAAAGACATGTATCATATGACCTCACTGATATGAGGAATTCTTAATCTCAGGAACAAACTGAGGGTTGCTGGAGTGGTTGGGGGTGGGAGGGATGGGGTGGCTGGGTGATAGACATTGGGGAGGGTATGTGCTACGGTGAGCGCTGTGAATTGTGCAAGACTGTTGAATCACAGATCTGTACTTCTGAAACAAATAACGCAACATATTTTAAGAAAAAAGAAAAAGATAGCAGGAGAGGAAGAATGAAGGGGAGTAAGTCAGAGGGGGAGACGAACCAGGAGAGATGATGGACTCTGAAAAACAAACTGAGGGTTCTAGAGGGGAGGAGGGTAGGGGGATGGGTTAGCCTGGTGATGGGTATTAAAGAGGGCACGTTCTGCATAGAGCACTGGGTGTTATGAACAAACAATGAATCATGGAACACTACACCAAAACAAATGATGTAATATATGGTGATTAACATAACAATAAAAAAGTAAAAAAAAAATAAAAAAAAAAGAAGGGTCTGTGCATGACCCACCCACAAGTACTTTAAACAAATAAAAAAGAAAAACATCCCATAAAGATTTTATAACCTACATCTTAAAACATCTTTATAACTCCAACTTTCTACAGGAAAATGGTCCAGTCGAGCATTAGCCAAACTTCCTACCTTAGGAAGTTTGTTCTGTCTGTGCATTTCCCATTATGTTTCCATGTAAAGGGAGTAAGGATGGGGAGATTTTTATTTAATGGTCTGAAATCTTTTTAGAGCTACAGTGGTCTTCAATCCTCTGTGTGCATCAGAAACACCGGGCACATTTTTGGGGTAGCTGGGTGGCTCAGTTGGTTAAGCGACTGCCTTCGGCTCAGGTCATGATCCTGGAGTCCCGGGATGGGGCCCCACATCGGGCTCCCTGCTCAGTGGGGAGTCTGCTTCTCCCTCTGCCCTTCACCCCACTCATGCTCTAATAAATAAATAAAATCTTAAAAAAAAAAAAAAAAGAATCACCGGGCATATTTTTAACACACGATGCCTGACAGAAGTTCTCCCTCATTGGGTTTGAGATGGGGCCCTTGGCTGTGGGCAGCAGCAAAGCTCCACATATGTGACACTACCAGGCAGGCAGCTGAGAACCCCTGGTGGTTAGAAGGGAAAATCAGCGAGGGACCGCAGGCTTTGGACAAAAGAGACTGAAATTAATGGATTCCACAGCAATCAGACAACAAAAAGAAAAGGCGTCCAAGTTGATAAGGAAGAAGTCAGACTTTCACTATTTGCAGATGACATGATACTATATATAGAAGACTTGAAAGACTTCACCAAAAAACTGCTAGGACTGATAAGTGAATTCAGTAAAGCTGCAGGATACAAGATCAACATACAGAACTATCTGTTGCATTCCTATACACTAATAATGAAGGAGCAGAAAGAGAAATTACAACAACCCCATTTACACAACTGCACCGAAAATAATAAGATACATAAGAATTAACTTAACCAAAGAGGTGAAAGACCTGTACTCAGAAAACAATAAAAAAAAAAAATTGAAGATGACACAAAGAAATGGAAAGACATTCCATGCTCACGCACTGGAAGAACAAATGTTAAAATATCCATACACTATATGCTGGCTAACTGAACATAATAAAAAAATAATATAAATAAATAAAATAAAAAATGTCCATACAAAGCAATCTACATATTTAATGTAATCCCTATAAAAATACCAACAGCATTTTGGACAGAACTAGAACAAACAATCCTAAAATTTGTATGGAACCACAAAAGACTCCAAATAGCCAAAGCAATCCTATAAAGCTGGAGGTATCACAATTCTAGACTTCAGATTATAATTACCAAGCTGTAGTAATCAAAACAGTATGGTACTGGCACAAAAATAGACATATAGACCAATAAACAATAGAAAACCCAGAAATAAACCCACAATTATATGGTCAATTAATTGTTGATAAAGGAGGCAAGAATATTCAATGGGAAAGACGTCTCTTCAACAAATGGTGCTGGGAAAAATAGACAGCAATGTGCAAAAGAATGAAACTGGACCACTTTCTTTCACCATACACATTAATATTCAAGATGAATTAAGGACCTAAATGTGAGACTTGAAACCATAAAAATCCTAGAAGAGAACACAAGCAGTAATTTCTTTGACATTGGCCATAACAACATCTTTCCAGATAGGTCTTCTGAGACAAGGGAATAAAAGCAAAAATAAACTATTGGGACTACATCAAAATTAAAAGCTTCTGCACAGCAAAGGAAATAATCAACAAAACTAAAAGGCAACCTACTGAATGGGAGAAGGTATTTGCAAATGATAGATCTGATCAAGGGTTAGTCTCCAAAATCTATAGAGAACTTACAAAACTCAACACCTAAAAAGCAAATAATCCAATTTAAAAAATGGGCAGAAAACATGAACAGACTTTTCTCCAAAGAAGACATCCAGATGGCCAATGGATACATGAAAAGATGCTCAACATCACTCGGCATCAGGGAAATGCAAATCAAAACCACATGAGAGGACAGAATGGCTAAAATCCAAAACACAAGATACAACAAGTGTTGACAAGGATGTGGAGGAAAAGAAATACTCGTGCACTATGGGTGGGAATGCAAACTGGTACAGCCACTGTGGAAAACAGTATGGAGATTCCTGACAAAGTTAAAAATAGAACCACCCTATGATCCAATAATCAAACTACTGGGTATGTACCCATCAAATACAGAAACACTAATTCAAAGGGATACATGCACCCCTATGTTTACAGAAGCATTATTTACAATAGCCAAACTATGGAAGCAGCCCAAGGGTCCAACCACTGATAAACAGATAAAGAAGAGGTGGTGTATATGCACAATGGAATATTACAAAGCCATAAAAATGAATGAAATCTTGCCATTTGCAACAACATGAATGGAGCTATAGAGTATATATATAGAGTATTATACTCTATAATGCCAAGTGAAATAAGTCAGTTAGAGAAAGACAAATACCATTTTATCTCACTCATATGTGGAATTTAAAAAACAAAACAAGTGAGCAAAGGGGGGAAAAGGGAGAAACAAACCAAGAAACAGCCTCTTAACAAAAGAGAACAAACTGATGGTGACCAGAGGGGAGGTGGGTGTGGGGATGGATGAAATAGGTGCTGGGGATTAAAGAGAAAGGAAAGGAGAAAGAAATTAATGGATTCCACATGCCAACAACACCCCTATGCCCTATGACCAGTTAATTCACTATATTGACACTTACTGTTAAGAAAATGACTACAGAATTGTGACCAAGCACCAGTACAAAAAAAAAAAATATATATATATATATATACATATATATATATACATAGAGAGAGAGAGAGAGAGAGAATACAGAATCCAATCAGAAGAAATATGTTCATTCCAATCAAGAAGTGAAGAAAATTAGCTGCAATCTAAGCGGGGTGCAAAATTCTATCCACCCAAAAAGATACAGAGAGATCATAAGGTGTGTTGGATTTTAAAGCTAAATCCCAGTTAGGAGGCATAAGCCTGGATCCCCCATGGGCAGAACAGAGGGAATCAGACTCTTAAGAAAGAGCTCTGCCCACGTCCCTGTGTGTTAGTCTCTTCCTGCAGAAATTTAGTGCCCAGGCCCTGGTCCAGGCCAGAATCTCTATTAATAAGAGAATCCAGATCACAAATCAACACAGTAACCACTTTCAGCCTGAGTATGTTTCTTACCAGGGATGGTAAAGAAAAAATCTTAGCGATCAAGCACACCACGCTTTTATGTTAAGGAATAAAAGCAATTATAAACTTAAATTCTGTAATCTTCAGAATAACACGCATCTCTGTTATTAAAGTAATCACAACCATTTGACAAGTTAGAGGACCCAACATCTTGGCCTCTGTGGTTTGAAACTGAAATGTGCAATGGGATTAGACTTGCAATTTTCATTTGTAAGAAGTAAGAAAATCCGTGTCAGTCTGAACACAGTATTTGATGTTTAAAGGAAGCTGATTTACCACATTTCTAAGTTTGGTTTACTAAATTGCAAAGAATTGCTTTGGTGTGTGAAGCAACCTGGCTCATAAGCTTTGCAGAGAGCCTCATTAGGGCTTGGAGTAGCTGGAGAAAAATCAGGTGAATCAATCTGTAAATGCAGTTTAAAAAGCTTAAATTTTTTTTTTAATCCACTGAGTGGTAAAAGAAACCAACTTACAGTAAAGTGTTTAGGAGATTTTAATCAGCTAACCTTGAGTTAATAAGCCATTAATCAAATAATTAAATGTTATGTTAGTACAAAAATTACTAGCTTTATAAATAGAGCAACAGTATTTATAAATTGAACCTAAAGCCTTAAAAAAAAATCTAAGGTTTTTAATGTTTATAATTTTAATAAATTCAACATGAATTCAGAGCCCCAGGAACTATAAATAATCCTATTCATGCATAAAATAAAAAGATTAAAAAACTCAACGTGATGTTACTGAGTGCCTACTCTGTTTGGCCCAGATAGTAAGAGTAGATAACCCACAGCATCGGCCGTGGAGGAGGTGAGTCTAATAAAATACTAGAGATTACAGCACAGGGGAGGGGTCTAACCCAACTTAGCAGACATAGAAAAGTTTCCTGCAGACTTCCTAAATGAATGTAGCCTTAAACCCAAGGCAATCATGGATATTATTTTTATTCTTGTTTAAAAATTCCTACTCCAGGGTTCCAATCATGCAAC